TAAACCATTTTTTAAATCTCATAAAGTTTTGCTCAAATCACTTGTAAAATTTTCACCTACAATTTCAATCTTGCCAATATAGTATTCATATGATCATTTTAAATCAACAAAAAAAAAATTAGAAGAGTTTTTTTTTTTAAGGAGTAACTTAATAAAATCCTCTGTCAACTTGAATCTTACATTCTGTCTGGTGATGAAGCAATTAAAAAGACAAGCACCTGCCAAGAACATTTTCCCTTAACTTGTGAAAGCAAGTACAAAGGCATCACCTCTTTAAGGAGTTTCTACAAATAGAATCACCCAAAAACTATTTGTTCACTTCCCAGATCACTTTAAATTGCTTTTTTTCCCCTGAATAAATAAAAAATAGTGGTTTAAGTAGCTTTCAAAAACACAGTGGCAATAATGAATGAAATTCATATTTTCTAATACAAAGCAGCTTTTCCTTTTCAAAACCCAAAAAACATTTGGCAACTGTTACACATTTCAAAGAAATCTAGGAGAGATAAATTTGGTAGTTACCCTTGAAAGAAACAAAACCTGGTAACTGTAATATAGAAAAATGACTTTATTGTTTTTTTTTCCCCTTTTCTACAGTGTTCCCATTGATATTCTCAAAGCAGAAACTAGGAAGTGAAGAAGAGAGTTTTCTGCTGAAGAGGTTTTAAAACATATGACATTAATTTTGCATTCTCTATAGTCTAAAAATTGACATAGAAGTTTAGACCTGTATTTGTTGTTTTCAAGAGGAAATTAAGCACTAATTATGGACACTTCTTATTGTAAGTTCAATTGATCTATTAATCTACCATTATTTTTCATTACTCTTGCCAGTGCCAGGAATCAAATTTATTACCCCTTTTTGTTGGTAAAGGATCTTTGTAATAATTTCACAACATCTTTGTAAAGCAGCTTCTTATTATGATACTGATCTTACAGATCAGGAAGCTAGAAAAGAGAATGATGCAAATGTACAAGGTCACAGATACTAGAAAAATATTTCAAAATTTTGATTATGTGCTCAATCCTAAAGTGACTAATAGGGCTGTGAGGTTCTGGGCTTTGACAAATGAGAGAGAAGAGGGGTCATTAAAAGACACTAGAAGGTTGTGGGGGTGATGGAGCTGGTGTGATGTGGAAGGAGAGCAGGATGAGTCTGGGATGTACTGAGTAAGAGGAGTCTGCAGGTTATCTCAGTGACAACGTCTGATACAAGGCAGAAGCTCCATGACTGGAGTTGGCTTAAGGATCAGGACTTGAGATAAGAATGTATGAGTCATTAGAAGAGTGAGCTGGTTGCCCTAATATGTTAACAGATCAGAGATCAAATGGTAATGAGTATAAATATTTTTTAAAAAATCATGGTACATTTCAAGCATGTACAAGAATAATTCAGCAATTATTTCATCACTGTCATATGACACTAGACAATTATACATCACAGGAATGATTCAGTGGGATGGTGGGGGGAGGAACATGTCTGACAGATTCTCTCTGGATCATCCAAGTAGACACTCTATCTTTAGGAAATCCAGATAATCTGGGTTGCAACCAAGAAGTCACTGTGTGCCCCTTTCACAGTATGTAGCAAATAGTTGTTTGCAGTTTAACCGAATATGTAGCTATCGGGTTTTATTTTTTTCTGTAATATCATTATTAAAGACTATGATATGTACATTTAAAAAACTGTATCATTTTACAGAGACTCAAACTTCTTTCCTTGACTACATTCACTAGGTTCAGATTCAGAATATGCAACAAAAAATTTTTCCTTCCCCTCATCAAGAGCCCAGCCTCCCGATTTCCCTCTCAAAAGTAACCAACATTATCAGTTTAAAAAAAGAAGAAAAAACTTCCTTTTTTTTTTTCTTCTGAGGATTTGCTATTACATTACAGGGAAGAAAAACCTGGTGATTGGGTTTTATATTGTGGATCTTCAGAAAGGCCATGGCTATTAAGTCATGAAATAATGTTACAACATTCAGTTATGAAGTAATACATTTGCCCTTCTGGTTAGTAGCTGTTACTAACCCATGAAGGAAGTCCTATAATGAAACTCTGTTTTGCTCCATCTCATATTTGTTAAGATTATATAACCTTTAACAAACTCACCCTTGAATACCGTGGACACTTACCCAAGTGTCTACAAATGATTAAATCTGTATTTTGCACAGAGACAAGAGTGACTGCCCCGAAAGGTGGGGGTAGTATTTTATTAATATTTTAATACTCTATGTATTAGCTAATATTCCAATTCTTACCAAAATAAAAAAAAATTAAAAGAATTCAGAATTGCCTGTATTAAAATGTCAAAAAATAATCACTCCTGGAAAAAGCTGTGGGATAATTTTGACTATATCTTATTTTTAATTTAAATTTTTAAAAGTTGAAAGTGACCTACATAAATCCCAGGAAGGAAAAAGTCAGCTCATTTGCTTAGTGAATTAATGTCTAGCAACAGTCAAATAGACATCTTTCCACAAGGCTATTTCCAAATTTACAATATTCATTTCTTCTAATGTCTCAATCTTTAGCTGAGCAAATATTGTGCAACTGCGTAGAAGAGAGATAATCTGATCTTCAGTTTAGACTAATCCAGGTAGAAGGGTTTAGTAAAGATTCTAATATATTCAAAGCCAAATTATGTAAACCATAGATAGTAAACAACAGAATAGAAAGGATTCTAAACTTCGCATTCTTTAAGCATGCATAACTTGGATAGAATGTGACACATATAAGACTTAGTTTAAGTATGAAATGTGTTAAGTGTAACACAAAAATGTTAATTATCAGCGTAAAGGCTGGCTCAAATCTCGGGAGGTAAATGGGAAGTAAATTTAGAGTCATAAAATTTCTAGAAGACTTTAGATACAATGTAATCTGGGATTCTCTTGAATCAGAAACGTGAGAGAAAACTGAGCCCTATACAAGTTAGGAGACTCCAGATTACACCATATACTGCAGATCTAGAACCAGGTAATCCAACACTTAGGTCAATGAATTCTGCACTCTAATAATCTGTATGTCAGGAGATATCATAATTTTTCTAATTTTAATAGATCATTTTATATTCTTCTATGGACAAATAATTTCCAGGAAGTCTTGTCTAAACCTATTGGTTAGTTAGAAGGGAGCTCCTCTTCTGAGCTCCCTAACACTCTTATGCCTACCCCAATTTTAACTCTTTGGTACAACTTATTGACATTTAAGATGCCTGTCTCCCCCTACTAGATTGTCCTTCCTAAAAGCTGGGACAGACTCTTAATCCTCTTTGTACCCTAGTAACTAGCAGTGCTTGGCACACACCAAATAGGTACTCAAAAATACAAGTGGAATTGATCCTTCTTCGAAATCCCTCAAAGTCTCACCATGATCTGACCTTTGACTGCTTCTTTGGCCTCCCACTCTCAAATTGTGGCATCAAATTGCTTAGTCTTAGTCCTGTGCAAAGATCAGTTTCCCATTACATGGTTTTGTTCAAAGGATCCTTTCCCCTTCTATTCCTCACCCCTTCCCCACCCCACCCTCCACATATATCCCACTTCATGAACTCTCTTGAAATAATTTTCTTGCAGAAGTCTTTCTTGACTCTGGGACCCCTCCCAACCTAAACTGGATTAATGCTCCTCCTCTGAGAACCAGTAGTTTCCTGTGCATACATTCTCTGCACTACACACATCACTTCACACGGTAGTTATGCCAACACTCCACCCAACTTGTTTTATTCATGTGGACATCCTCCAAGATTAGTACACTGTCTGTACTAATGCACGTGTATGATTTTAAAATGTGATTTGAACAAAAAGAACACATTCATAGGGAAGGAATCTTGACACAGGTGAATTCTAGGGAAGTCAAAGATATACAAACGCAAATAATTGGATATTTAGTACATTTTCCTAAAAGAGCTAAAACAATAGAAAAAGGCTTTCAATTTTGAGGCTACAATTGAAATCATAAAACAAACAATAAAGGCCCTTAAGTGAAAGGACACTAAAATGCTATTCATGCAAATGCTAATATACTGGTTATCATAGGATAACGGGGCGTTTAACAGTCATGTCAAAAATATATACTAAGAGGAAGAAAAATCAGAGGTTAAATTATACTGGGGGCGGGGGCAGGTATAGTTCAGTGGCAAAGCACATGCTTAGCATGCACGAGGTACTGGGTTCAATCCCTAGTACTTCTATTAAAAAGTAAACAAATTAAATTAATTAACCTAATTACCTCCTCCCCTAAAAAATATTATACTCAAAACGTGTCCCTCAAATAGTCTCGGCTACAAGGTATCACTATTATTCCCAAATCAGTACACAAAACTTTTCCTTTCCAATTCACTTTTCTTGCGGTAAAATATACATAACATAAAACTTATCATTTAATCACTTTAAAGAGTGCAATTCCATGCCACTAAGCATATTCTTACTATTGTACAGCCATCACCACTATCCATCCTCCTAACTCTGTTTTAAAACGCAAGCCGCAGCTGCAACTTCCTTCTTTTCATTAACCTTGCTTTTGTAACATAACTGAGCTTTATGCACCACAAAGGGTTCTGCTGGGCTAGATTCAGAAACGGACGAGTGAAGCAAATCACTGTGGATGCTCCTTCCAGAGCTACCCAAATCATAAGCTCTGTTAATGGAATTTAAGAGCTAAATTCACTTCGCCCTCCAGCCCTTTCAGGCATCAATAACCGAGGAGTAACCACAGCAACACCCACATCCCTCCAAAAATGCAGCAACCGAGTCCCGAACGGCAGCTGTCCAGAGCCAGCGCCATCCTTCAGCGCCTACTGCAGAAAGCAAGCACCGCGGGGACCGCAAGCAGGAGGTGAAGAAGAGAGAAGAATTAAAGAACCACGTGAGAGACACAGCTGAAGTCTTAGCATTCCCTCTCTGTCCTCCTCGGGTTCCCTACCGCCCAGCGTAAACCGCTCAGCCCCTAACATGTACCCGCAAACCCGCAGCCCGGCATTCCACTGGCGCTCGCGCTCTTTATTGACGCAAATCCCCCGTTCTCGCGGGAGCTTGGGAGCGCGAGCCGAGGAGGGCGGACAAATCTCTCGGAATCACAGTAGGAGCTGCAGCTCGGAAGCGGGAGGAGGGGCGGGGCGCGGGCCTGGACGGGGCGGGGCCTAGCCTCGGAGAAGGGAGGGCGCGGGCGGGAGCGTAGGGGAGGGAGGGGAGACCGAGCGGCCGGGGGCGGGGCCGCACGGCCAGGACCTGTTGATCGCAGGTAGCACCGCCGGCCAGGCTCCCTCGGGACCGCGGCGAGTGCGCATGCTCGCTGGCCGCGCTGGGCCGGTCGCCGAGCGGCGCTGACGAACCGGCTCCTCCGCCGCGGCGGTTGCGGTGGCCGCGATGGCGATGTGAGGGCGCCCGCGGCGGGATGGTGCTGACCCGGGGAGGGCCGTCTTCTTCCAGCGAGACCACGGGCTCCTCCGTCCGCCAGGCTTGGAGGAGGCCAAACCGGGCGAAAGGTGAGCCTCGGACTGTCCTCCCCGTGTCCCGGCTCCCGGCACCCGCGACCCCTCCCTCCGGCTCCTTCCCACGGGCCCGGCAGGAAGCGGCCTCCTCCTGCGCCCGGTCCCCTGGCCGCCCCGGCCCCACTCCGGCCGCTGAAGGTCGGCGGGGACGTGGTGCCGGCTGCCCCGTCGGTGCCCCCCGCGCCCCCCGCCCCTGAGGCGCGCCCCTCGGCGGGCCGCCTGACCCTCCTCCTCCCGCTGTCCGGCTGCTCCCGCCGTCGCCCTCTGCCCCATCCTCGCGCCTCGCCCGTCTTTGCTCCCTTTCTGGTCCCCTCCCTCGTCCCCGCCTCCTTCGGGGCTCTTCGCCGCGGTGGTCCCTCGGTTGGGGGCACCGTGTCCTTTGCTGCCCACCCCTGCCGCGATTTCTCCCCTCTCCCTGTGCATCCCTCCTCTGGCTCCTCTTACCGACGCTCCCTCCCCTCGCCGCCAGGTTTCTGACTCCGCTGCCTCTATCATTTCTTCCTTGGCTCTCTTTTCTTCTCATTTTCCCCTTTCGGTACTTCGTCCTTGTTCCCTTTTGTTAGTTTCTGATTCTGTGTTTTGCTCCAGTGTCGCTCTGCACTCGAGGTCATGCTATGCCCCGCCTTACCTTCGGAGACCCTCACTCCCTTAACCCTTTCCTCTTTTGGTATCCTGCTTCATTGCTTTCCGTCAGTGGCCCCCGTCCTCCCGTGTTTTTCCATCCTGATCCCACATTCTAGTCTTTAATCTTGATCTTTTTTCTCTCTAAAACTGTTTTTTGGGTTTGTTTTTTGTTTTTGTTTTTCCTATTTGCATAGGTCGAGCCTCTTAAGTCCGTTTTACTTTTTTTTTAAATCTCAGAAGAGTTCTAGTCTCTTACTTTACCTAAACTAGGCGTCCACTCAGTATACTTAGTTCAGTTTCCAATTTAATAAAATCTGTCATTTTCTTTCTTCACTGACTGGAAGTGTCATCAAAAGAGTGACAGTAGCAATAACCTGTTACACTTACTGATTGAAGGTTTAGTTTTTAAGAATTGTTTACCTTACTTGTCAAGAGAAGCAACTTGAGGACAGACTTGAAAATATAAAGGCTGACCCCCCAAACATAAGGTTAAAATTCTGAAATTTTATTGCCCCCTGGGAAATACAATTGTCCAAGAACTAATCTTAAATGAAATTTAACAAAATTTATTTTATAAAATTAGTTAATAATTTGATATCTTATGCATTTGCTGTTGCAGTTGATTGCATCATTTTTGTGATGGTCTATGTTCTCTGTATTAAATGCATACAATTTTGACTAACTTATAGGATTAGTGTGCTGACTGAAGGAAATATGTGAGGAAGTATTATATTTCTGAGTTAGGCACAAGAACTTTCCAAACAGTTTTGGAAGTTTTTCCCTCCGTTTCATTATGACCAAGATTTGGCTTACAAAAAACTTCTCTCCATAGAAATAATGGTGTGGCATCTTATTTTGAACGCATCTGCTGAAGCAGTTCCTCTGTTAAGTTTGCCTTTTTTCTAGAGTTGAAGACCAACTGGATTATGTATTTCATTCTGAAATCTCAAAGCAGTCCACACAGTACATTCTTCCTTACATTGTCTATATCAGGTAGGAATTAAATTTTTCTGTTTCTGTTGTACAGAAGGGAAGCACTAAGACAAAAAGACGTTTAGTTCCTTATTTGAAATATTAGAGGTAAAAGTAGAAGGAGATACTGTTAAGGATCTGATGTCACAAAACCACACCTCTTTTGGAAGAACCAGCGATTATTGTGTATAGCAGGAGGTGATGAACTCCTCAGTTTTTAAGATTTTTTTTTAGTGATTTTTCCAAGGCAAATAGAGGTAACTGCTGCTTCTGAAGGAAGCTTTCCCGTCTTTCAAAGGCAGGGCTTTCTATTTCGAGGTAACTATTCATTAAAAAAGCAAATGCGAACAAATTCTTGTTGGTATTCGTAGTGAATAGATTCTCTGCTCTTAGAAATTAAAATGAAGATTCATGGTGGGCAGCAGGCACAGGACCAGAAGACATAAAACTTAAACTCTGTGATGACTCATGACATTAGTTTGTAGAAGTCACTTAACCTGTATACCTAGGGTGTCTCTACTTATAATACATGGGTAAAAGAGGTGGCTACCCATTAATCTTTCAAAAGCAAAGTAAACTCTAATCATTTAAGCATGCTTAGGGCCACCACAGACAAAAATTACTATAAACACTTAATTTTTATCTCCTTTAGACTGTGTCGTAAGAATATAATTGAATGCTTAAATCCCAGATCACTGAAGTTTAGATTTTTGTTTTTAATTGCAGACTTACGTGAAAAGTCTAACAGAGTGTGCTGTGAACTGTGGATTAGTTTAGATTAGTTAATGTTCATGTGCCGTGAAACAGACACTGCAGCATTCTGTGTGCAGAGCACGTTTGCCCTCTGTTTGCCAGGATTTGGCACTGAAAGTATACGAGTAGCACGGTATCTTTGGTTACTTCCATGAGTTACTGTTGTCTTATATTTTAGCTTTGTTTGCTGTAGGTATAGATCCTTGAGATGACTTGAAGGTTGTTTCGGGAATAGAAAGGGCAAAGATTTCCTCTGCTTTGATTCTAAGTATTAAGGAAAAACTGCTTAAAAGTGAGTTATGTGATATGTACCTGTGTGTATTTAAATAAATGGATGGAGATGGGCGCATATAGATTTAAAGTGAGTAGTGTTTTTTTTTTTTCTTTTCCTCCTTGAGTTGTTTGTTAGGAAGAAGGTTTAGAAATGAATATGAATAAGAAGTAGGGTGGTAATAGAGAAGAAAGCATTCCTACTGGGCACAGTGATTTTTCAGAAAAATTAGTAAGCACGAATTGCTGGGCAGGTCTAGATTTTTCAGAAGGAGTGGAGTGAAACAGCCTCACCGTGGGTTTTACCATTTTATTTTTAAAGATTGCCAGTTCTTTTTAGCGGGTCCATACGTGGTCAGTGATGTGCTAAATTTAATAAAAATTAGCCTCTTTTTTCTTAATAGAAGTATGAAAATGTCAGGTCCTTTTGACCAAGGAATTAAAAATACTATTTGTATTTGAGAAGACTAAGGCTTAGAGAGGCTGAGTTAGAATCCAGGTCTGTCTGTTAGGAAAGTTAAAGGTATACTGAAGAAAGCACAAGCTGTTAAGAAAACATTGTTTGTGTCTTAGAATATTTTTCAGTGAGAGGATTGAACTTTCTGTTCTGGTTCTGAGTTTTGTTCTCTGTTGAGATAACTAGTAAGATGAAATATCTTAAGGAGTGCCAGGCAGACCCCTGAACTAGGAATAGATAAGGACTGTAATTCTTTCTGAATTTCTCTTTATGTTAAAAGAAGTAACTAATTTTTGGTACTTTGGGCTATTCTGGGGTTTTTAAGGTATATAATAACATGATATATTCAGAGATATTCTGTATTATGTTACTGGTAGGTTTGTGGCATATAAAATTGAAAAGTTTATATGAACTGCTTTTAATAAATTAAATCCTGTTTTCTGTGTAATATCAGAAGTAGGTTTTACTTGTGTCCCATAATGACCAATACAAGTTCTTTCTCAGTTTCTTTACTTCATTCATGTAGTAAGTCAACCATCAAAATACTCTCAGAAAGTTTTACTAATGTTCTTTCTATGTTATGTTTTAAAATTGTTTTTCTATGGATTTTGTATCATATTAACACAGTTATTCAAAACTAACAATGTTCTGAGAGTGCTTCTTAAGCTAATTCTCAGTTCTAAGAAGAGTAATAATATATTTCTCTTTTATTGGACTGTAACTGTAAAACCAAATTTTAAAGAAATTAGGAGACAACAATGCCTTTAAACTTCAGATTTTGTATTTGTGTGTGTGGAATGTGAGAAATTTGAGCATTTCATATTTAGAGAATAATGTTAATTACATGGAAAATTGAATATAGTTAATTTATCAAGTGTGATTTTTTTGTTACTATTGCATTCTGATTTCAGTTTTTCTACTAGTAGGGGCGTATTTATCTTATGGCTCAATGACCCTTGAATCTACTTCTTGTAACAAGCTGTGGACTTTAGAATTATACAGGTTTAAATGTAGGCCTTGGAGTTTGGCACATTTGAGGATTTTGTCCTTTTTCCATTATTTTCTAACTGTGTGACCTAGGATAAGTCCTGTAAACTTTTTGCTTCTTAGTTTCTTCACCTATAAAATGGAGTAATAATAGCTCTTTCAGATTTTGATGAGAATTGGATGGAATAATGTAAAGCTACTGGCATATAAATAAATGCTTCAGAAAGTTCTGAGTGTCTATATTTGGTTTGTATGTGATATGCTATTTGGTCTATATCTGGTATCAACAGGGAAACATACAGCTTTTTAAAATATAGTTTGTCTATCAAGCTATTCTGCTTATCTTTCCTTTGGAAGATCTCCCTCTTACCCTCTCCCCCGAGGAGAAGAACTTAGTACTCTATTCTCTTCTTAAATAGCTCTAAAATTTGTGTAGTATGGTATATGGCTGGCCCTCAGAAGTTCATTTTGATGCGTGATGAGTGGCAGCTGAAGGTTCTATACCATTCATTTCCTTATTTTACGTGCCCTCTTTACTCTAGTGATTCTGTTAAGCCCATCTTCATTGTGAATCACTTTTTTAAATGAGAGATGTTACTGATGAAAGGGTGTTGTGCACGTGAATAACTGTGAAGGCAGAAGGAAGGTTAAAAGCCATCAGAGTGGTGATCTTCAGAGTCAGGACAGTGACAGGTGGCTTGGCCATTTTACAGTAGAATATAATCCAGTGACTTAGCATGTTTAGCCCTTGCAAGAAGGAGCTTACAAAGCTGGGCAGGGTGTCAGGGCCACACTCAATCCAGAGGAAACTGAATGTAAATCAAGAAAGAAGACCATAGGTCAGATATTTAGACTGAAGCAAACAATGCAGACTTAACCAACTTAGGTGGCCAGAATGAAGCCAGATAGCAGGGTTAGAGGTGCAGGACTAATACAGACGTTCTTGGCTGATTGGTCTCAGTTTATAGCTCTGTATTGTTGGACTTGGTCAAGATTAGCTCCAGGACTGTAAGGGCCTGATTCTTTGGATTGGAGTTCTGCTGTGCCCCAGGTGAGTGGTGCCCAGAAAAGGTGGCAGCCAAGCATACTTTCTCCCAAGAGACCCATCTTCCCACTCTCCTTGGTTTGCTGCAGAACTTGAATGTTATAGGAATCTTTTGTTATTTGCAAGGTTATGAGAACAGTGTTCTGAAGTCTCCTAGGGGTGCCCCTATTTTGGGCTTCCTGCTATTCACTGGGAGAAGGCCCAAGAAAATGAGTCCAAAACTGACTCACTAGTATCAAATGGATTGGGTTAACCTCCTTCTAGATCTAGAAGATTTCTTTGTCCCCATCGTATCCCTAGTTAAGTGACTTGAATTTAACTGTACATGTTACGTGTCCTTCCCGTCATCCATCCCAGATCTCAAATGTCAGTCTCAGTCCCCAGATATCTGTCGCAGTGTGAGCCCCTCATCTAC